AGCAAAAGAAAGGGAATGATGCCCGTGCATTCATAAGATAATAAACATCCTGCTCTCTACATTTTCCTCAGTCATATCTCCCAGTTAGCAGTGCATACAGACAGAACAGATTCTATATGACATTTTCATTCTGCTCGTCACATACAAAAAACAGGGGAGCAGACAGCCTGCAAGAACAGTGAATATGCAACAAGCCTCCTCCACCCTGCCTCACCCCACTGCTGCTATCATGGTGAATGGTGAAGGGAAACAAAAAGCCTTTTTCTCCCTGCATGAGCCCTTCACATGAGCCCTCAGCAGGAAACTGAGCTGAACTTACCTCACTACCACAGTCAGAAGCTCCATGGGAGCCCTGCATGTGTTGGGCGTTCTCCAAGATGCACCAACAAACCCCTGCATGGAAGGGGATCATGTGAGTCTTCATCAACAGTTCAGAAGTCTGCAAGCCCTGCTAAGGTGGCTAAAGGGAGAGAAGTGCATCAGGAAGGTACTGTCAGGATAGACCTGCTCCAAGAATTCAGCCAGAGGCCTCTTAGTGAATTCAGTGGAGCCAAAACTATCTAAACTCCCAAAACTATCCTCAACACAAACGTGTCAAAGATCTTAATAACCCAGATTTTCTGTGTGCCCTTCTCTAAACGAGGTTGACTTAGCAGCCCAAGCACAATGTGAAAAATAACAGGAATAAAAACTCCCTAGGTTTACAGTGAGCATTACCTCCCATTAAAAATGCTTTTAGGAGGCAAACTTAAGTGCTCCAAACTGGAATCTGTCAATACATTACTCCTCATCTTAACCAGCATTCAGTAAGTGGTGTCTCCCACTCCTTTGCAGCACCTCACAAATAGCTGTGCAAAGGGGAGCAGCATTAGTCTAAATGTGCAGCTGCAGCCTACATGTTTCTAAAGGTCTGTCGAAGCAGCGCTAAGAAAGCAACAGATCACATAGGTCACAGACAGCAACACATTTTTAAGCTTTCCTCTGTGCAGCAGTTGGGAAAATGTGTGTTTTCGCGTCGTATCAATTCTCACTTTTATCCTATCTAAACCTCAGCATTCTAGGAAAGGACACAGTAATGATTCCTTTTAATTTCTCTTGTTCTGCTTCAGTGGGTGGAGGGACATAGCACCAGTCCCCATGAATTTATTAGGCATCTCATTTGCTATAGCTTGTGTTTTTCCAAGAGCTCTTCAGTCAGATGTGATGTGAAAACTGTGCCAGCAACGAAGTTTGAAAAAAGTGAATCATGAGATCTAAAAGGCCAATAAAAAGAGCTCACTTTTTAAACAGTACTCATGAGTTTTAAGCCTGTGATTACATGCCACAAGCTCAAAGTATCTGGAAGTTTTGCCTTCAGATTCTTGAACATTTATGCCAGAGACAATGGCATGCTGGACAGACCCTGGGAGCTGCTTTGAGCAGAAATAATGTGTGGCAGACTGGTCATGTCTTAATAGACATTTCTATGACTCCAACAGCACTGCTTTAAATATCCAAGTCTTCCTCATAACAGAACATAGCAACTTACTAAACAGAAACTGATCTCATTAAGTGACAGGTGATGTGTTTCAGTGATCAAAGCCTAGATTCAACAGTAGGAGTCCGTGAGTCATGTCAACTGTTGCCATTCTAATTATTCCTCAGATGATTTCCAAAACAATACATCCCTGTGTGCTTGCTCTACCCAGCTCAGCCTGCAGCTCTGAAGTAGAAGCCCAGCAGAAAAATGATTTTCAGAGTGCCATTAAAACACTTAGTGATAGAAGTATTCTGCTGACACTGAGGATCCTGGAATTCTTTCAGCTCACACTGTCAACAAACGGGATCGTGACAGACTAGTCAGCTATACAGAAGATGCACTCTTGGTCCATGGGAGCAAAGCACCGCATGCACAAACTTCCTGGGGTCAAACCAGTGGCAACACAGTGCTCTGCAGAGTGCCGTACTGGTGCAGCACCCTCTGTCTATTGAAGAAACCTCCAGAGCTCAAGATTGAGCTGAGAGAGACAACATCAGGAAAAAAGGAGTGATTAAAGACATACCTCAGATCTTCACCATAAAACCACTTGTGCTTGTTTGTTTGCTGAAGGTTAAGAAGGAGAAAATAAAACACTTCTGAGCCAGGAGAACTGCCAGTTGTTATTTTAATACTTACCCAACTCTGTGTACCTCCACGATCCACAAACAAGAAAACCAGAGTAGCTAGGAGCATAAATCTACTTATTTTATACACTCAGAAACATAATCTGAGGATGGGATGAAGAGCTTCACTGCTGGATTCCTTGGTAAACAAACTTTAAAGTACTGGTATTCAAACCGTTTAGGCCTTTGGGAATACCAGTGGAGTTTGACATTTTAGGTATTTGGCCACAGTTTGGCTGCACAAGCTCTTCTGGCTCTCCAGTGCCACCGCAGTGTCCTGAAATTCTAGTCTTGGAGATCAAGAGTCACTCACAGCCTAGTGGGAGAAGCCAGCTATCAGCGATCAACAAGGTAAACCCATATGAAAGACGTGCTAAGGTTTCCCTTTCTCTGTGAAGAGAATTTATGACCATTAAAGGTACAGTTACCAGCTTTCTTCTATGGCTTAACTCAGAATGTTTGCTCAAACCCAGAACCACTCAAATCTGATCTACTCATGTCCATTCCTGTGTTTGCAGCTATTGAAAGAGAAGGCGCACCCAAAATAGCTACCTACCAGTCTGGGTGGCTGACTGGGCTAAACAAATTGCAAGCCAAGACTCCTTCCTCAGCCTCCCCCACCCCACCCGCTATTAAAACAGCAAAATAAAAAACTTTCATATTAGAAACTATCAATTATGAGGAAAATAGCACATCCAGTTGAGAGCCAGCTACTCAGCAGGCCTTTTACAAATAAATCTTGCTGCTGTGAAAGCACCAATGCTTCTGTACCCCACGCACCAGGAAGACAAGCATGGCTCTGCTTGTGGCCACTGGTTTCAGGGGTCAGTGTTTCTATCCTAAAGGTAAAGAAGACTCATGGTTACTTCTTTCTGCATGCTCAGTACTTCAGAAAACTGGAGCTGCACCTCCAAAAGATGCACTACTGCTGATCCGCTCTTGGGATGAGCTGGACTCAGGAGCCCCAGGCTTCTGCTCTTGACATCCATCTATCTTCTGTTAAGGTCAGAAATGAGTCCCACAGAAAGGATTGGGTCAAACGTCTGACTGACCAAAGGTCAGTCTCACAACAAGTAACATCATGTATTTAATAATAAGCCGTTAGGCTCATCTCCAGTGAGCAGCTAGGATTTTCCTACTGAATGCAGGCTTCAACCTAGAAATTAGAACAAATTAAATGCAAAATTTATTACTATGCTGAAGGAAACTGAATGAAGGCAAACGTACAACATTCACATGTGTACAGCCTCTGTTGACCATCATCTTTGTTTTGTGAAGTTGGAAGCTTATATATTCTCTTTTCTATTCGAATGAAATCTAGGGCCCAAAGTCCAAACCAGAGGCAAAGTGACTTCAGACTACAGGTTTTCTCTTCACATTCTATTTAATAAAAGCTTCTGAGAAACCCTTGAGTAAGACACATTACTTAAAGCATTCTGTGTTTCCCTACTTGTAGTTTGTGCTTTCTGTGCTGCCAATCTGAATTTTCAGCAGCCCAACAGAAAGGGCAGCTCAGGGAGCCGAACCTGCAGCACAGACTTACAAACATAAGCTCATATGTGTATGGAAGGAGGGCCTGTTCTACAAAGAAACATCATTGATAAGAAGAGCTCTGCCTGGAGCAGGCATCGGAGCAGACAGCAACCACATGATCAAAAGTGGCAGTAACTACAAAAATAAAAGCACATCTAATATAGAACCACCTTCAGTAAGCATGTAGTGCATTCCCTCCATTCTTCCAGCATTTTTTCCAGGAGAGACAAAATGTGACAGTCTGCTCTTAGAAGAAAAGCAGATTGAAAAAACAGAAAAACACACCAGAAAACCAAACCCCACAAAACCACATGCATTCATTTCTCCTAAATAAAGACATACAGAAAGAAAGCGTCTTCCTTATTTTTCTAATGCATTTTTTCCTTTAAAAAAGAAGATACTTAGAAAAAAAAACACTGGTTTCTCTCTCCACCCCCCCCCCCCAAAGTTCTGCATCCAAGAAAAAAAAGCAGTACACAAACACCCCCTTTCCCCCAAAAATGACCCAGCTACATCCATGAAAGAGAGACAAACTCATGAAGAAACAGCATGCTAAGGAGGAGTGACACCAAGAAGACCCATCACAGGTCTCTCGGAATCTGACCTTGGCTTCCAAGGTTTCTTTTACAGAAATAACTACACAGACACTCCTTCAGAAGGAGAGATTGCCAGTGCATTCCTCCAGTAGCATGGGGGAAATACAGACATACGCTGGAAACTACTGAACTTTTCTGAGGCCTGCAGGAGCTTGTCCTATGCCATCTTCCACGTGCATTGCTTTTTTTCTCTGCGTTCATAAGAGCAGAAGAAAGACAAAATATGCATTAAGACCTTCACCTGGATGTTTTCCTCAGTTTGAAGTGTCCACCTGGGTCTAGCTGCTGGTAAAACAAAGCATCCGTCATTCTTCTGTTCATATACAAGTACAGCCGTTCTCTAACCTGTCACTTGGAAGCTCCTGGCCTTTTCTATGATTTTTTTAACTGCACTTTGAGCAGAGTTATTACCTTAAAGAAAGCAGTACGAAACATGTCTTTCGGCAGCGTAACTTATTTTTTCTTGTACATTTTCTGCTTTAAAGAAAAATGAGTCCGTTTATTTTTAATCACATTTTTATTAACTTTTTCCAAAAAGAAGCACAAAAGCCCCCTCCTATGTTGCTATATTTACACTGTAGATTTCTTAATCTCTTATGTAAATATACATATTCTGCAGTAATCTGTCTGTGAAAAAAGAATGCTATTTTTAGCATTCTGGTGATGGACAAATCTTCATTATCAATGTAATGCTCTAAGAAAAGAAAATCAATTTTCAGAGTTGTCAAATATCCAGATAAGCATACAGATCAAATCTATTCAAACTATTCTAAACAAAAAGAAACCTCAAGTATTACAATAGATTTAGTGTACTGTGTCACACACATAACATGGCCAAAAATGATTATTTATAATGGACATCAGTTAACACAATTGTTTTCCAAAACAGGAGCAAAACATTTTTTAAAGGTTTCAAACACACTATTTTGAGTATTTCACTTCTTGCCAAGTAGTTTATCGTTATAGTCGACTGGGATTATGCCACTGCATTCTTCTGTCTTTGATAGAGGATGCCTTATGAAAGCACGTCTAATTACATCAATATCACGTCCTAAATGATCCATCATGGTCGTTACAATCGTAGGTGGGGCCTCTAAGTCTATCAAAAAATACCTGCAATGAGAAACACACACACAATGTAAAAAAACTAACTGTACTGCAACAACTTTAAGTCATGTAACTGTTCTGTGGGAGTTCTTGAATAAAATGTTTTTGCTTACGTTTTGGTACCAGAATTGTTAGAATAAAACCTCAGTATTATCTTGATTTCAAATAAGAAAAATTCAATTGAAGCAGGCTCAGCCTGAGCTCTTCTTTGTTGTACAGCACTGCCTACCGAAGGAGATTAAAGAGAACTTACTCTTCTTGCACCTATTACATTCATTTCCACCTCTTAATGTGAACGGTCTTTCAGAGAAGTGAGGTGACACATTTACTTCAGTTACAACATGCATCCTCCTTCTTCGAATTCATGACATTGTTTCTTTGGGGAACAGATGCCAGCGCAAACCATCTCAAGCTTACACACACACAGGCACATTTCTTCCTTAAAAGTTCTGCTTCGGAGCTGAATGGAAATTACAAAAAATAAAGGGGCAAAGGAAACACACAGAGATGGATTTACCCCAAATCAGGTACATCTTTGATGGGAACATGGCTTAAAGTTTTAATCTGAGGGTAGGAGCTGAAGCTCTGTACTCCGCTTGCACAGCTGGGACTTGCCCTGCCGAACCTGGTGGGACTGAGAAGGTCTTACTTCCACACATGCACAGCATGTATAAAACGCAGTGTTTCAGGTAAGTGCTTCCTGCCCACCACAAAGCTGTCTTTGACATCTACAAAGAAAAAGCCAACCACCTACCTACAGGAAAGAACATTGCTCCCCATTAATATTTTAGGTCACTGAGGTTACCACTGCAATGAAGCTCCTTTCCTGAAGAGCTGCACTTTCTTCCTGAGCTCAACTATAACTTTGGCAGGGGCTTTCAAAACTCCAGTATACCCAAACAAGCAAAGCAGTCTACTGCAATTCAGGAGTCCCATTTCAGACAAGGGACACAACTGAAAGCTGCATACTAACTTAATCTCAGATATGCAAATTCAGATCCCATCTTTTAATGTGAGATACACCTTAAATTCATTAGCAACATAAAGTCTACTATTCCTGCAATTTATGAGCGACCTAGTGACAGCCATCATACTAATGTGAAAAAATGAGTGAGCCATGTCACTGGCCATCCATCCTTCCTTGAAATGCTGTGTATGAACTAGTAGCACTGTCAACAGAGCTGTAACACATTTGACTGCATTGGCATGGCACTAACTACCAAAAAGACACTACAACTGCCTCAGAAATCCAGGTGAAGAGAACTAACCCCTCGTTTCCAAGACTATCAGTGATTTAAAGGTTAAATGTACAGCACAGAACTTGCCACCTAGCTATTTCATTTTCATCTTTACACATCTTCTTATGAAAGTTTCCCTTTCCTCCTAGTCCACTCAAGCACACGTCCCCATGAAGCATCAATCTAACCTGAAAGCGATATCCCTTAACTGAAGTTGTATTACCCAAGCAAGATCAAGCATCCCACTTTGATTTAACAATTGTACCTAACAGAAAGGACTTGTTCTGCAAGAGGTATGGATTCTTACTAAGCCAGCAACAGTCCATAAAGGTAATGCTGGAGGGTAAGTTCCCAAGACCAGAAGCTGAACTGGGACTCTGAACAGGAAATACAAGAGATGGGGCACGAACAATGAATTTGGCCATGTTCTTTATGCTGCATGGAGTTCATTTTCATCCAACTAAAAGTGCTACATCAAAAACATTACACACAACAGACCCATTGGGCCAGAAATTACTCAAGCAACACATGCTGGATGACTGCACAGGGGTGGAATCTACCTATGGAAAACATGATGAAGATGCTTTTCTTCTTAGGCAGACACAGAATCACAGAATGGTTTGGGTTAGAAGCAACCTTAAAGCTCATCCAGTTTCAACTCCCTGCCAAGGTCAGGGACACCTTCCACTACACCAGGTTGCTCAAAGCCCCATGCAGCCTGGCCATGGACACCGCCAGGGATGAGGCAGCCACAGCTTCTCTGGACAACCTGTGCCAGTGCCTCACCACCCTCACAGTGAAGAGTTTCTTCCTAATACCTAGTCTAAATCTACACCTAGTCCTGAACCTCTTACACAGGCATCTGCATTAACAGCCACAATTCATCTCTGAAGCCTTTTTCAGAAAGGCCAGGCTGAAGCACTGAATTCTTGTACTTGAGAGGTCTGATAGCAAAAAAATCTCTCTGCAGCCCACACTGGGGCAACGAATGCTCCAGAACAGACGCCCAGCCAGTGTGGACTGCAGCCTAGCATCTCTGAAGCCAAGGGACCAGTGCCAGGTCATGTCAGCAAAGGTGCTGCTCCTCTTACTGCAGAAAGGCTACTGAAAGCTGCCGGAATAGTTTGCCTCAGGATGAATTTGGAGGAACTCTGGTGGGCTCAGTCCTCCACACAAATCCTCACAGGCTTCAACGAGGAAAAGGATTTGGCTTAATATATTTGGTAAACCAAACCTACTGTTTGGTTTACCAAACAGCTTACTGTTTTCTCATCTCCAGAATTAAGAGATGCCACATGGTTAAAAGTTTAGGGAGAAAAAACAATTTTTAAGCTTGGACAATTCATTAGAAATACGGCACAGCAACATCTGAGGGATGCACACCCCTTAAAAAGGGAAAGTCATTTTCTGTTAAAGCCATTAAAAGCCACTGGTAAATTTAACAGATGACACTTCACTCTTCTCCTTGGGAAGAAGCCTTCCCGATCCTCTCACAGTTACAACTAACAGGAAGGAGGATGGGGGAGAGAAATTTAGCTAGTGATCCTCAACCACTTTCATGCCCCCTTCCCTTAGCAGAAGCATTCATTCGGATTGCAATCTGTGCCCTCTGCCGCACCATTTTATCCCTCAGTTCCTCAAGAACTTCATTTCATTTCTGCTTGCAAGTCGGGCGCTGCTTTTCACTGCGAGCCTAAAACGGCAATAGGGTTTTTTTTCTTCCAAAGGCTGCTTTGCAACTTTGTGCTTTCTCTCACGTTAGCAAATGGTGGAAATTTCCACTGACGCACTGTTGATAACTGAAGGAGAAGGGGGGGATGGGAGGATGAGCTGTTACAGCATATCTTTATGACTCCTCGCAGAATAGGTATTTTATCTGAGGGTACAGAACTGCAGTAATTGGGGACAATGTGAGTTTTTAAAAACAACCACCACTCTTCAATGTTAACAAGCAATGATTGCCTTCGTGTGCCAAAAAACAGAGAAGGAAAAGAGGGCCAGCGTAGCAAATGTTATTTCTTCATTAAAGAAGGAGAAGAAACTGATGGCTGCAAAAGCAATAACCAAACACAATTGACAATGCAAGCCCTGAGGGGATCTGGAACCTCTCCCCCCCCCCCCCCAAATATACACATTTAAATTGGCTGTCACGAGGCCATGGAGGTTTTTTAACCCACCCTCAATGAGGCTTGCAGCAACCTTCATTTCAAGCAGTGATCTATGACCCAATACACAATGCCGTAGCTACTGTTTGTGTAATAAACAAAACCAAATCCCAGTAAGACTTACAGATAGGGAAAAATACAGGAATGCGGGAGGGAAACCACCTCATTCCTGCAAGCAAAAATGCAAAAGCATTTAGATTCTCTAAGAGTTAGCCAAGTCATCAGCAGAGAAATACAGGAAAATTCCACTGATTGACTATGAGACCACAGTTATTTTTGTCATCCTGCTCAACTGCAAATAGAAGGATGATTTAAATACAGGAGAGCCAAGTGAAACATTAAAACAATGCATTAAATGAAAAAAAAATATTAACATGATATATGATCTCAAATAAAGGAGGACACGTCTTTGTATAGGAGAGAGAAGGAGAAATGAGGAAAAAGATGCCAGGTTTCATTTATCCTTTTTAGCATATCCAAGCCAGAAACTGAACCCTGAGAAGTAAGGATACTCAAATATTTTGCTTTCAAATGGACAGTCTACGACTTCAAAGAACTCTGAAAAGCACCTGGATTACGACTCAATTTGAAATCCTCCTAGAGTATGTCTCTGTCAACCTGGGAAGCAGGGGGAAAAGCACACATACGGTGGACTTGGAGGAGCGTGTGTGGTCCTATGGTTGTGCCCAAAACACATCTGTATGCTTCAATTTCTCCTTTACACAGTGGCAGTAAGCGTAAGCTTAAGCTTAAGTGGCAGTAAGCGTAAGCTTCCCCAGTGGGGAGGTAGAAGATACAAGAAGATACTGATGAACAGGTAGAGGTGAAGCATTGAACAGTAAACCAGGAAACTGCCTGGAGGAAAACGAGCCACAGCACTCTTGTGAAAGCTGCTGGACATTCATTCTCAGAAGGCAATCCTACATAAATGGATTTTTCTTGCTCCCTGAAAGATCACTTCATCCTTAGGACCACTGTGTTGCTCTGAAGAGAGGTAGTTCACTTTTCCCCTCAACTCTTGTGGTAGCTACCCTTCCTCAGCAGAGCAGGAAGGCAAGTTCATGCTCAGAAAGATCATCATTTTGCAGCTGGGAGGGCTAGTGCATGTGTTACTTTCAGCTTTTAGAAAATGCATACAGACTAGTTGGAAGTCCTTTGAAAATCACAAGGACAGCAAAGGAGAAGGATCTGATCAAAACCAAAAGCTGGTGCCTTAGAAACTAGACTGTGTCACAGCAATTACGCAACCCGTAATGAGCAAGTACTTCGGGGGAAAAATACATTTTACAATCCACAGCCTTCAGAAATTTCATTTGCCAAATTCTATACATAGATGACTGTTATTAAGCTAATTAAATAAGAGAAAGGCATTTTGCAGCATTGCAAGGAAAACAAATACTGTTACACTGCAAAAGAGAAAGCAGCCTGACCTATTCTGTGTACCTGAAAAGTCACGTTCACTGGGGCATTTGAAAAGTTGTTATGAGCGGGACTGAAGTTACACAGCAAATATTAATTCTGCTCATGTCACTTCTGTGCCTTCAGTATAATTTACAGCTTAAAAAAAAAAACCAACCCAAAATGGTGACTGGTTCCCATTCCA